CACACACACACACACACACACACACACACACACACACACACACACACACACACACACACACACACACACGCACACACACAAACGCACACGCACACACACACATGCACACACATGGTTGCAGCTTCAACAATGCAACAATGAGCCGTCAACTCACCCTTCAAATCGCCAATGATGATGCCGTGGGAGTGGGCCTCCGCCGTTGCGGCCACCATCTGCGCGATCACGGGGGCTAGACCCGGCTCGGTCGCTGCTGGGCTGCGCCACACGAGTAGCTTATTGGGCTGCTGCTGCTGCTGCTGCTGCTGCTGCTGCTGCTGCTGCTGCTGCTGCTGCCGCCGCTGCTGCTGCTGCTGCTGCTGCTGCTGTGGCGGCGGCGGCGGCGGCGGTGATGGCACCGCCGCCTCGGCCAACGGTAACGCAGGCATGGCCTCGGCATCCGCCATGCCTGGCTTGCCGCCCTTGCGGCTGGCTGCCGCTGGGGGGACCGCCACCATGGCCGGCAGCGCGGGCAGACTGCCCAGCAGGTGCTGCGTGGCCGAGCAGTCGGCCCGCCGCATCAGCACGCGCATCATGTGCCGGCTGGCGCCGGCGCTCCAGATTGGTAGGCAGCCCTTCAGCAAGTTGGTGACTGTCGCCAGTCGTACCAGGCGGCCGGCCATGGGCCTGTGGTCACGCGCGTTGCCCATCACGGCCTTCACCTGCCCAGGGACGCTCGGCTGCAGCCAGGCCGCCGCGGGGCTGACCAGGCGCAGGCCCACGGCGGCGGTGGCACCGAACGCGCCTGACGGGCCGGCGGGCCCCAGCTTCTCTTCCAGTAACGCCAAGCCTGACCACAAAAGATCCTTCGGCCCTGCAATTTTCAGGGCGTTGGATCAAGAGGGTGCAGCAGAGCATGTCGATGCGCACTGCGCAAAATTGAGCCGGCGCATGCGTGCGTGCGTGCGTGCATGAGTGTGTGGTGTGTGTGATTTGTTGTGTGATGTGTGTGATGTGTGTGATGTGTGTGATGTGTGTGATGTGTGTGATGTGTGTGATGTGTGTGATGTGTGTGATGTGTGTGATGTGTGTGGGGTGTTTGCTTGATATGTGTGTGGGAGGAGGTAGGTAGGTAAGGTGGGAGAACGGAGGGAGGGAGCATGCGCGCTCGTATGTTTGGTTGTGCGTGCACGTGCATGCATGCAATTTTCTAAGGTGGTGGTGGTGGTGGTGGGGGGGGTGAGTAGGAGTATGTGTTTAATTAAGGAGAAACACAGGCTTGTTGAGGTGAAGCCCATAAGCGTAGACTACGCAACAAATGCTCGCCCTGCCTAGTTCCCACCTTCGCTGATCAACGGCAGTAGGGGCCCAGCATCATCGCCCGCGGGCAGCAGTGAGGCGGCAGCACGCAGGCGCAGGCGCAGCTGGACCTCCGGGTCCAGGGGGCCGACGGCGTGCTCCAGCCGCACAACATCTGCAAAATCAGGTATGGTTGAGGCGTGTGTGTGTCCAAGCGTGAGTTGCGAGTCCCAGCGTCTAAGCTTGCACGGGCGTGTGTGATGAGTTCAGCTGGGTGAGAGGGGGCGTGAGAACGCCCTGGATCCTCTTGTCCAGCAGCACAGCAAGGCGGAGACAAGACGCCGCAAAGGAACACGACAATTGACATCCATTTTTGTGCGCTCGGTGTGAGCGCATGAATTGGTTGCTCACCAGCCGCATCCAGAGCGCAGTAGGACTGCACGGCATGCAGGGCGGCTGTCGCCACCCTCATGACGCCGTCGACCATGTCGCTGTCTCTCGTGCCTCCAGCCACCCGCAGCGCCGCTGCACAGCACGTGAGCGCCTGGCTTGCCAGGGCGGCAACCTGCTGCTGTGCCTCCGGTGGCAGCGGCAGGGGCCGGTCCATCAGCGAGGTGTGGTGCTGCAGGAGTAGCTTCCAGATTGGGCTAATGTGACCGCGCTCTGCGGCTGCCAGGGCCACCTCCAGATCATGCCTCCAAGTTGACGGAGCGAAGCCCACCGCCACTGCTGCCACCCCAGACCCGTTGTCGCAGCTGCCGCCGGTCACTTCCGCAGGGCTGCCTTCGTCGTCGTCCACGTCGCCGCCGGCTTTCTGAGCGTTGTACAGCCGCGACAGGGTTGCCACGTTCAGCGGAAGCGCCTCGGCCTGATGAAGTTGGGGCAATTGGAGGCACACTACTTGCGTCACGACTTGACTTGAGTTCACGCAATCATTAAACAGGTAATGGACAGCAACTCCGGCGATGAAGCACACTTGGCGGTCATCTGAATACTGCCCACTCAGTCAATTGGAAAATCATCCTGGCCTTTTAACCCGCGCATCTCACCTTTTGGCAGATCATGCATGTGCTCTTGTGGTCATCAAAGCACAGCACTGAGCAGCACCAGGGGGTGGCGCAGCCGCGCCCGCAGCAAATGCCGCGATCCTTTCCGCGTGTCAACTTGCCACGGCGAGTGCGACCGCTGCCGCCCTGCTTGGCGCTGATACACAAATTTCCACGGGGGCAGGCCAGCTGCTTGGGCAAGGATTTGAGCATTTCTGAGTCAGTTGGTTCTGTCGCTGCTTCTGTCGCTGCTTCCTCTGCTTCTGGTGATGCCGCTTCTGGTGCTCCTGCCGCAGCCTCCAAGCCAGACAGTTTCAGCTGCTGCAGCCAGTCTGGTGACATGCGTGTTTCTTTCGCAAGCACCAGCGCAGTTGTCGGCGCAAGGCTGCTGCTGTTCCGGCGTGGAAGCTTTGGGTTTGTGCCACTGCCTTCGCCGGCGTCCACCACATAATCATCATCCTGGGATGGCAGCACGGTCCCTCCTGCTTGTATCACCTGCTGGTGTCCTCTCTTTTTGCTGCCAGGAGGTGGCCGCTGCTCAGCGGCTGCGGGAACAACCCCCGGCATCTCCTCGCCGCCGCCGCCCCCGATGCTGCGGCCGCCTCCCTCGCCGTCGTTAGCGCAGCTGCTGATCTTGCTAGCATGCAGGCGCTCAAGAATGTCGCGGTCCAGCGGAATCGGGACGGCCTGATATATTTTGGGGGGGTGGAAGGAGCCGAAGTTTTCAACAGGGGGCGTTGCTCGCTCGCGCTCGCCTGGAGGTCGTCAGTACACCGACAGCAACGCGCGCCATGTTATACGCACTCTCCCCCCCCCCCCCGCACCTCCATGCAGCCGGTGCAGTCATTTTGATGTTTTTCGAAGCATTTATAGCTGCACATCCATAAACCGGTGCAACCACGGTCGGGAACACACCCGCCCGTGCCATCTGCTGCGAGCAGCGCATCTAGTCGGCACCGGCGACCGTGTCCGTCTGCATCGGCTTGCGCGCAGAGAGCTGCGCATGGACAGCGCAGTCTTTGGCCAATCATTGTCGTATGGGACACTCAGACACCTAGCAGCAGTGTCGGCTCGTTATGTGCTGCGTGCACAAGTCAGGGTTGACTGAACGATACTGGCAATCGCGAGGATGTTGTTGTGGGCAGATCTACACAGAAAGCAAGTTGAAAAAGTACGCGCGGCACATGCTCAAGCATCAGTGCGCGATTGATCTAGAAACAGGCGAGCATTTGCCCACTGCACCAGCGCGAACAGCAAAAACAAAGACAACTACATAATAAAGCTTGATTAGAAACATTTTCTGTTCGTGGGATCCACGCAGAGTCCCGCCGCTCTCGGCGCGCCCCCGCCGCCCGCCTGGCGAACGGCCCCGGCCGGGACGAGAAAACTGGGGCGTGCGCAGCCGTGCGCCCGGGGGCCGGGCTCCCAGGGGCGCGTTGCTGCGCAGCGACACTTGAGATGTTCACCATAATTATTTTGGGTACTTTTCAGCACCCCAGCTGCGCGATCACCCAGCTCGCGGCAGGGCGCATGTGCGCCCCTCGGCGGCAGGGGCGGCGCGCTTTGGAACGGCAGCCGGCGCGCGCGGGCGCCGCTGCTAGCTGCTGGACCGCGATCCGCCATACACTGTACAGCCAGGGACCTCGGATGCCGGGCGGCGGTCCGGCGGAGCTCACGGCGGTGGGCAAGGAGCAATCGAGAGCCACACGGCAAACTTTGCCGGGGGTGCTTGGCCCGCGCGTGTGATACCTTCTGTGTGCGTGTAAATGATTATCACCAATATTGTGCGCGCTGCGGAGCAGCGACGCGGCCTGGGCGGCGAGCCCGCCGTGCGCACGGCAGCGCACGCCCCAGTTTTCTCGTCCCGGGCAGGGCGGCCGCGGGCGCGGCCGGGCGGCGCCGGCGGCTGCACGCCGCGCGGGGCTGGGCGCTGCAGGCGTCTTTCAGGACACAAGGTTGTGCGATAAACATCGCGATGTGCGTGTGAGGACGGCCTTTTCGAGCGAAGACCGCCGTCCACGACGTTGACCGACCCCCTGCGAGGGGTGCCGGGCCTGAAAGGCAGCGGTGTGACGTCGATTGCGCTTCACTTGATGCAGTGAAATGGGAATGTGCAACGCGTGGAAT